GCCCCTTCCCCTCAGCACCTCATTCCTCTCCACCTCAGAACGACCCCCGCCGGCCCAGTGCGCTCCCCTCAGCTCTTCCCCTCCACGCCTCCCGCCTGCCCTCCCCTCGCTCCCTCAGTTCTGTCCCTGCTGCACCCCTTCCACCGCCCCTCTCAGCCGGCTCCTCACAGCTCCCCCGCCCCCAACGCCCCTCTTTCCTCCAGAGACCCCTCACTGCCCTCCGGCTGCCGCTCATCCTTTCCTCCCGGCCGCGGCGCCCTCCTTCTTGCCCCCCTTCCCTACGCCCCCTGCCCGTGGAGCTCCCGCGGCGGCCCCCAGGGTCCGGGGAGACCCCCCTCAGCGCCCGCTCCTGAAGCTAGCGCCTCACTGTCGCGGCGTCCCCTCCTTAGCGGCCTCACCCAGCCCCTCCTCCTCGGGGTCCCCTCCGCTACCCAGCGCTCCCTTCCAGTGCCCGCTCACGGTCCGCAGCGCCCCGCACTGGGGATCGGTCCCCCATCCTCCGCGGGCGGGGTGCTGGGGCCGCGCCCCTTACCTCGGACTCCGAGTGCGAGACGAGGGGCTCGCTCCCGGACAGCTCTGCCAGACGGTCGGGCCGGGCTGTGGGCGGCGGGAGGCGCGGCTGGGCTCAGGGAGCAGGGCGGGGCGGGACGGCTCTGGTCCCCACCGCGGCGACTTAGCACTGAGGCTCGGGCTCCAACTGGGCTCGGCTCCGACGGGGTCCAGGCCCCGCCCAAGGGCGGAGTCCGTGTTCGCTCCGCCCCCGGCCCGCAGCTCTGGGCAGGTGTAGGGAATCCAGCGACTATCGTGGTTTATCTTGATGCTCACGCCTCGTTCCACAGGCTGAACTTGGGTGATCAGAGAGCTTTTATGATAATGTAGGTGATGATGGGTACTGAGCTTTGCCACTTCCTTACTGCTTTCCTGTGGGTTACGTCGCTCCATCCTCACAAAAGCCCAGGGAGGCAGGCACAGTTCGAACGGCTGACCACAGGTGGACACTAAGCCAGAAGCCAGGGCGTCGTCCTCCATCCTACGCAATCCTTCATGCCCCACCTCCCGTCAGTCTGGTAATAACACCACCGGACCGTGTTCTTGCCCTCCTCTCCACTGCTCTTCGCTGGCTCAGGCCTCATCACTTCTTGCCGGGTCTAATGCAACAACTTCCCCATTCCTGCCTCCACTCTCCAACCCATCTTCTACGCCAGTAGCCTGAGTAACCTTTTTAAATGTCACCATGTTACCATCAACTTTGTTTAAAAAAAAAAAAACTTTCAGTGCTTCCCCATCACCAGCAGGAGCTTGGAGGCTGCCAACTGGAATGGGAAAATATTCTTTCCTGGCAATTAGGAAGTCCCAGCTCTTCTAGGGGTGGCAGGTAAAGGAGGTAATTAGCACTACACCCTCAAATCCTGATGTGGATTTCACTTCCAGTCTTCCTCAGATCTCGGGAGCCAGCTGACAGCTTTGGTCTAGAATCCTTGCCCTCCCCCACACTCCTCCCCCATTCCAAATTTTAGAGGTCTGAGTCAGATACCCCCCCCCCAAAGTTCCATTATGACCCTGTCCACAGTATGTCTTTCCAGCCTAGGGAACCATGCAAATCGACAGTCCTGCTAGTTGTGGGGCCTATCCTTCAGACTCATCCTTCTGCTCTTCTGAGCTTCTTGCCCAGGCATTTCATTCACCTTCCCACTGCCCATTTCACTGCTAGCCCTTTCACTGCACTCTAGAACCCTGTTCCTTTGTCAACAGACTCCTATACCTTCTGCTTCTTCAGAGCATTCAGGTTACTTTTTGACTTTATTGAAACCTGACCCTCCTCCAGGACATTGTAGGCCTCTGCAAGGCGGCTTCTCACTTTTCTACTCCCCACACACCATAAAATCAGGAGTGGAGTCAGCATTGCCCCCTTGTACAAAAATTCTTTCTCCTTTGCTCTCCGGCCATACCACCCTCTACCTTTCCTCATCCCTAACACCAAATTACTCTTTATGCATTAAAGATTTCAGCCCCTGGCTCGTGGCGGTTCACTCTCGTCCCTGTCCTGCCACTCTCTTCAGTAGTCATGGGGTTTCCTCCATCTTTGGCCTCCTCTTCATGTCACCTTGGCCACTGGCTCCTGTTGTCACACTGAACCACTTAATCACCCGTTACTGGTACCTCTGTAATCTCAAAATGAAACATCCTGAAACTGAAATGAAAAACGCTGAACGCTCCTTCACTCCCTTTCTCCCACGAGGCCCTAGTTTCCTCATTTCAAAATAGGTGGAGTAATAATGATTATTCATTCATCACAGGAATGATAAGACAACATATAAAACCATCCTTTTAAAGTTGTGAAACAGTATAAGAATAAATGGTATTGCTTTTATGCATCCTCAAGTCTTCTGCTTGCTTTCTCCTTTTTCCTCCCCTGAAAGGCCATGTAGTAGAGCTGAAAGAACACAGGCTTGGGATCAGGCAGACCTGCCTTTTAATCCTTGTTCCACCGTTTGCTTGCTGTGTGATCTCATATCAATTACCTCATTTTTCTAACACACACATGCCCCTTCCTCATTTAAAGAAAGAGCAATAATGAGGAACACCTCCAGAGTTGTACGGATCAAATGAAAAAATGAGCTACTGGAAAACACTTGATAGAGTGCCAGGCATACAGTAAATACTTGATAAATAGGAAACACTGTGGTTTCTGTTATAATACAGAAAAAATTTGATTTTTTAACCGCAATTGCCTTCCAAGAAGGATAGATCCTAATGAACAGAAGGTCCCTTTGCCCTAATCAGGGCCTTGATGAGTGTGGTATATGTAAGTTTAGGAGGAGAAGGGGAGGACCAAATTGCTCTTTGTAAAAGAATGGAGGAGAATTTCAAGTTCATTTGGCAAAATGGGAGGGGAAAAGGAAAAAGATGATTAAGTCAGTGTAAACAGGTGCTACTTAGATAAAGAGTCAGTAACATTTCTGTTGGGCCGGCCCGGTGGTGCACTGGAGAGTATGCCGCTTGGGAGCGCGGCGGCGCTCCCGCCGAGGGTTCGGATCCCATGTGGAGACCGGTTCCCGCTCACTGGCTGAGCGCGGTGCAGGCGCAACACCGAGGGTTGCGATCCCGTTGCCGGTTCCCGGTACGGGCGCGACACTGAGGGTTGCGATCCCGTTGCCGGTCAGTAAAAAAGACAAAAAGGAAAAAAAAAAAAGAGAGTCAGAAGGGGCCATGAGCACTGAGCCAAGCTCACAGCCATGGGGCCTGGGCTCATGGGCAGACATGTTCCTGATTTGAGGTGAAAACACGAAAAGAAGATAGAATGAATAATAATGCTTTTGCACAACAATTTCTTGCTGCTGCTGCTGTGCTGCTGGCCTTCTTGATCCTCAGCCTGCAGCTCTTCTACCTGATCCTGGCATTGCCAGCTAAGAATGGAGTGAGCAACAAGAAAAGAAAGAGGATCATGCCTGACCCAAGGACAGATCTCCCTGTGACAGACCCCGTTTATGAAGCTCTTTTGTACTGCAGCATCCCAAGTGTGGCCAAGCACAGTATGGAAGGCCATGCCCCACATCATTTTAAGCTGGTCTCAGTACATGTGTTCATTTGCCACGGGGACAGGTACCCACCATATGCCATTCCCAAAACAAAGAAATTGGCTGTACTTTGATGGCTAACAGGAAATCTTATCACCCTGAACTGGAAGCTTTCATTAGTCACATGTAAAAAAGGATCCAGAGCTTATTTCGAAAGCCCCTTAAACTCCCCGCCTCTTTACTCCAATTACACACTGTGTGAAGATCACACACATTTGCAGAATGGCTAGTTCCTGAGGGATATCTACCTAAAAAAACACAAACTCCTACTGAATAATCAGTCCACAGACCAGCTTTACTTAGAGACTACTGGGAAAAGCCAGACCCTGCAAAGTGGGCTGGACTTGCTATATGGCTTCCTCCCAGATTTCGACGGGAAGAAGATTTATTTCAGACACCAGCCAAGTGTTCTGACTGCCCTGGAAACTGCTATTGCCCAGGGAGACACCAGTATCTGAAAAAGGAGCAGTATCGTCAGTACCTCTTAACATTTGAAAAACAGCCAGCTAGAGAGGACCTATGGGGAAAGATCATGGACATCCCCACCAAGCAGCTCTGAGCTGCCAACCCAGTAGACTCCATGCTCTGCCATTTCTGCCACAATGTCAGCCTCCCCTGCACCAGAAATGGTTGTAGTGATGTGGAGCACTTCAAGGTAATCAGGATGCATAAGAGGATGAGAGAGAAAAGCAGAAGAAACTGTACCTTGGGTATTTGTTGCTGGATGCCCACTGCATCCTGAATCAAACCATCGACTAGATGCAGCGTGCTGCTGAGGGCAGGAAAGAAGAGATCTTTGCCTTCTATTCTGCTCACGATGCCATTCTGTCACCATTTCTCAGTGCTGTGGACCTTACAGAAGCCAGGTTCCCACGGTTTGTGGCCAGATTGATCTTTGAGCTCTGGCAAGACATTGTCAATGAACATTCTGTTCGTATTCTTTACAGTGGTGTTGATGTCACATTCTATACCTTTCTGCAAGGACCATCAAAAGTGTTTTCTCAAGCCCATGTGGCCCCTTGAAAACTTAGTCCACTTTGTCAAAAGGAATATGTTTATGGCCGTGAGTAGCAGTAGTACTAATTATTATGATGCATGTCATAGGGAAGGATTCTAAAAGGTATGTAACACAGCACGATTGAATCTGTGCCAATACAGAGGACTGGGAAAGGTCTGCTTCTAATTCTGTCTGTTGCTAAGGCTACAAGATTATTAATGTTTAAAGGCTAAAAATTGTTTTGGGGAGCCACATAGATGGTTTGCGTTGAACAGTAAGCACATTGCTATAATCTGGCATGTGAGTTACTTGGTACAAAATGGACAGTTCACAGAGAAAAGAAGGTACTTTATCATAGCCAGACTTTGCTTGGAATGCCATAGTAATATTTCAGTATCCAAAGTTACCAATCCAAGTTTGCATTCTTTTGGCCTGCCATGATACTGCATGATGGAACCAGCAAACCTCAGCCAAAATTTTCTTAATCTTGGACAATTTCATCCTGTCCTTATTCAGTAAAATGTTTCCTGAAGTGATTTATCTAAAATAAGGGTTGGCAAACTTTTTCTGTAAAAGGCCAGATAGTAAATATTTTAGACTGTGAGGACCAAAAGTCCACATTATAGTCTCTATTGCAACTACTCAACTCTGCTCTTGTAACATGAAAGCAACCACAAAAGATAGATAAATGGGTAAGTGTGGCTGTGTTCACAGGCAGTACAAAACAAGTGGGAGCCAGGTTTGGTCCCCAGGCTGTGGTTTGCTGACTCCTAATCTTTTTTTTTTTTTTGTCTTTTTGTCTTTTTTCGTGACCGGCAATGGATCGCAACCCTCGGTGTTACTCCCACACCTCGCTCAGCCAGTGAGTGGGAACCGGTCTGTATGTGGGATCCGAACCCTCGGCGGGAGCGCCGCTGCACTCCCAAGCGGCGCACTGTAGCAGTGCGCCACCGGGCCGGCCCCCTGACTCCTAATCTTAAAAACAAGTTTGACTTCCAGCACTTTGAGAACCCGTTGAATACCAGGAATTATTCAATGGTTCTTCCAGTATCTTCTGCTAGAAAGACAGAATTTGGTTTGTATCTGACACTACAACAACACTTGAGGTGAAATAAACATTGAA